GCCTGAAAATATTGCAGGCCCTAGGCACTGGACCTTGTTGTACCTAATGATAAACTGGCCTTGCAGTCAGCCAGTGAGATTCTAGATGACATTTGCCAGGCCTCTGGGAAACAGAAGTCTCCTATTCTGCTGGATTCGGTGGCAAAAGACCTTTTGGCTTGCACCTGCTCAGATATTTTCAACCACAAGTGGTAATCTGGGAGTAGCTGGAAGTCACGAGGAGGAACCTGGGAATGACGCTAACTTCATGTAAACAGAGCCGAGGGATGAAGCTGGTGATACTAGCATGAGATCAGGCAGCCATTTCTATACAGCACTCAATACAATTGTTTTTTTTTTCTTTTTTTTTTTCTGAAGTCTGTGTAATTTGGGGATGCTGTTGAAGAGTGTCCTCCCTGAAATAACTGCCTAATGAAAACTTAAAAAACAAACGCTTTGCTTCTGCTATTACTGTAGGCATGTTATGGAAGAGGCTCGATAATTCCATTTCACCTTCTATGATGTCTTAGTGCAATTTCACTGCTTTCTTTTCATAGTTCTTTTCTTTCTCCCATTCATACTGGTCAGAGCGATTGTTCACAAACAGAAATGTACTCCTGTTACTTCCTTATTTAAAATCCTTCAGTGATTTCTCACTGCCTGGGGCACACGCTCCAGGAGGTTCCATCTGGTGGGTTAGGCTCAGATCACGACAGCCTCCCACCAGGATCCCTGCTTTGTGTAGAGATTGGAATGTCTTCTTCACTCCTAATTCTGTGCCTTTACTTGAACTTTCCCTCTGCCTGAATGCTTTTCTTCTTACTCACACCTTCTCATCTTCAAGTTTTGGGTTAAGTATTACACAGTTGTTGCTCAATAAATGTTTATCAAGTTGAGTTATATCTAAACTCAAGTTTAGACTTAGCTGGTCTTATTGATCACAAATGCTCTGTTCCTATGATTATGTTTAAACATAAAGTTAAGGCTTAGTTCTCTATACATATGTAAGAAATACTGGGTAGATCATGGTATTAGCAACTGACAGAGCTCTCAAGGAGAAAGGTTTACATGTAGTTTCCACAGGCTTCTTTCTTTCCATCATGCCATGGGAGACCTGCGACGGTCTGGCCTCTGCTTGCCCTTCAGGCTCATCTACCAATGATCATTGCTAGAACTCTGGCCATGGTCAATACTAACTTACCTCAAAGGCATTTGACATTCCTCCATCCTTAGCAGTCAATTATCTTTCTCTCTGTTACCCTTGAATCTTTTTTTTTTTCTTTCTGAGACAGAGTCTCACTGTGACACCCAGAATGGAGTGCAATGGTGCAATCTTGGCTCATTGCAATCTCTGCTTCCAGGGTTCAAGCGATTCTCCTGTCTCAGTCTCCCAAGTAGCTGGGACTATAGGCACACACCACCATGCCTGGCTAATTTTTGTATTTTTAGTAGAGGCGGGGTTTCACCATGTTGGTCTGGCTGGTCTCGAACTCTTGATCTCAAGTGATCAGCCTGCCTCAGCCTCCCAAAGTGCTGGGATTAAAGCCGTGAGCCACCACGCCCGGCCTATCCTTGAACTTTTAACTAACTGTTAATATTGCAGATGCTTATGCCACTTTAGAGAAATAGCTAGCAAATTTGAGCCTGGGGTAAAACATAAGATTTGCAAATTCAAAACATAATTCGAAGACTCTAATTTATTTTATAAAGTGTCCACTAGTCTTCTTTGTGCAAAAAGTTCTCAGTTACTGCTATTAATTCCTCTTCCTTGGCTGTTGGGAAGAGCAGCAAAGGAGAAAGGACTTACAGAGTACCTACATAAATTGGTTATGATCAACATATAAACAAGGAACAACAAACTGCAGAACGCCACAGGAGGCTTCTGAGGAGGAAGGCCTCTCCGTGCCTCGTGTTCTGGTACAGGATGACCTAAGCTCTGCTACCATAAACATTGTGCTCAAAGACGTAAAACCCCTTGGTAGCACTGTGACGTAGCCAGACTTGTACGCTCCTTGTAAGGCCCTCATTCCATCAGCTGCACATAGATAATAGGCTAATGATAACCACATGTCAGCTCATCTGTCTTGAGTAATTAAAAAAAAAAAAAGATAACCACATGTTCTTGTTTTAGTAAAACTCCCAACCGCCACTGTTATCAGTCCTTAGAATAACGCACCAGATCTGGCTCGCTGATTCACTTCCGGCTCACTGATTCACTCTACCATCTCTCCACCCCGCCCTATAGATCCAAGTGATTGTAATCAATAAATAGCGGGGATGATCAGAGTTCAGGGCCTTCACTGTCTCCTCCAAAGTAATAAGTGTTGGCCCCCTGGTTCCACTTTCTCTCTTAATCAGTCTTTTTCTCATTCCTTTGTCACCACCGAACCCAGGGTACCCACGGGTGATGCAGGGCTGGCTTCCTACACTCATCACTACATATGTAAACATTGCATTTTACTGAGACCAGTTTCCTACCTGCTATTTTTTTCTGTTTTCTCTTGACTATTTTGTTTTCATTTTCTGCAGTCTTAATGTTCCCAAGGAGGCTTATCAATCTGCATTTTAAATATGAATAAAGCTTGATTTTTTTCCTTAGTCTTTTAAATAAGAAATAGAAATAGATTTCATTTCCTAGTGGACTAGCTTTTGTACTCTCTGGAGATCATGGCTCTGTGCCTGTTATTAGCTAACGTCTCCCAGCTACAAATCTACCCTTCTGTGCTTGGCTGGGACGGGGCTGGGGCTCTGTCAACCACATTCTCCTTGGCCAGCTAGCTATTAGGCTTTGTCAGTAGAGGACACTACAGGGAGACGTGAAGGCTGGAAGAGGAAGAAGGGAATTGCTGCGTCCCGTTTTTTCCTGTTTGTTTGCTGTTCCTCCCAGCATCAAGCATCATCCTAGCAACACTTCTTCACCCTGGAAGAGGCAGTTCATTCTAGTAGCAGCCCTTGATCTCAGTTCTTCCAACACTTGTAGGACCAACCTCACTGTGCCCTCTCAGGGACACTAACACCAGCTGACCTGCAGCTCTCCTCAGAGCTCTGTGTCCCAGCCTCTTGGGCCCCTCCTCAGGGGTCTGAGCTTCAGCAACATGGGGCATCTCCTTCACGCTTGTAAGTTTAAATAATGTCAACCTCTGTCCCTTTGTTCCTCTGGGCCAGGAGTGGTGAGTTGCCTCCTGTGTATGCTACCTCCATGGTATTTAAAGGTATTCCTTTTATCTTTTAAGTCCTTCAATACCTAGTTAGTATTTCCTTAGTTAAAATAACCGGTATGGTCATGGTGTCCTGATTGGACTCTGACTGACCCTATCTCCCTCCATCGTTCTTTGGAGATTGTTTATGGCTTCAGTCTCCTTATATCAGGCTTATTTTGCCATGTACCCTGGTTACACTGGATTCATGTTGACCTCAAAGGGTGCCCAAACAATATTCTAGCTGTTTCTGTGAGGATGCTTCTAGATAAGATTAACATCTAAATTGATGTACTTTGAGCAAAGCAGATTTCCCTCCACATGGTTGGGCTTTATCTAATCAGCTGAAGGCCTCAGTATAACAAAAAGACCAGCCTCCCCTGAGCAAGAGGGAACACTCCAGCAGATGGCCGGCAGACTTCACTTGCAACATTGGCTCTTCCTGGCTCTACAGCACATGACTCTTAAACTGAAACTACAACATTGGCTCTTGTGTGTGTCCTGGGCTTGCCACCTTCCACAGTCATGCAAACCAGTTCCTTAAAATAAACCTCTTCCTGTAGCTATGCACACTGGCTCTGTTGGTTCTGTTTGTTCTACATCTACTGGTTCTGTTTCTCCGGAGGACCCTGACCTAATACAATGACCATTAAATATTTCCTCAAGAAATGGTTGTTCTGACTTTGCCTCCTGGTACACTCTGCTACACTGGCTGATACGGTGGAAGCTGCTATTTTGCTTGCCAACCTTAGCAAATATTTGTGGGTAAAGTGTTCTTAGTATACCTCTTTCCTTGAAAAAGAACAGTATATTTTTTCTATATGTTATTTTCCTTTATTTTATTTTAAAATGTCTCCTCTTCTTGGAAGTTGACAGGAGCGCATTGAAATTTAGAGGAAAACTTTGCAGCACTATGTTACCTTCCATAATGCTGCATAACAAATTCTCGGTGGCTTATAACAACAAACATTTTAGTGTCCTCATTCACAAGTCACAAGGGCAGCTGGGATAGCTTCTTACAAGAATGCTCTTCTTATGTCAGATCACAGGCGTGCAAGAGGAAAATCCAAACTGTGAAAGCCCATTTAAAGCCTGTGGTTGTATCACATCTAGTATTACACTCTGGGCACAGCAAATCACATGGCCAAGTTTTCAGCCAAATGATGAGAAAGTACACTCTGCCTATGGAGAATCCAAAGCAAGGATGGGCAAATATAGAGAACATATATTCTATAGCTTGCCTATAGTATCTATAAGAAAAAAAGATGAAAACCGTGATAGAAAAAAATACTCCAGGGAATTAACAGGACATTCACAAGAGTATACATACAAAAACAAAAAAAGTAGAATGTTCAGTCTTATCTGTAATCAAAGAAATGCCAATTTAAAACACTGTGAGACACTTTTTAACCCATGAGATTCAAAAAATAATAAAATGATTAACATCAACTCATTGGCTAGAGAATAACTTGTGCAGTCTTTCTGGATATCAATCTGACATAGATATTACCATTTTAAAATGCATATAACTTAGCAATTCTTCTAGGAATTGACAACAAAAGTCATTGTACAAAGACATTTCAGAACTAAAATGTTTTTACTGTGAAAGATTAAAAAGTATCCCTACAGGAAGGAGAAAATGAGACAGAAATAGACAAAGCAGGAAAAAATTGAAAAGAGGTATCAGGCAGTTCATTTAACTTGCTCTCTGGGTTTCGTTGTAGCTCTTTAAAAAGGTTGAATTTTACAGCATTTTGTACATAGACTGTAAGCCTCTGCACCTAGCACACTTTGTCGGGAGTTTCTTTCTTTCTTTCTTTTTTTTAATGTTTTTTTTTTTTAAGGCTAGTCAAGTGAAGCAGTGGGAGTGGAGAAGGAACGAAGAAATCTGTAACTGGTTGTGATTGATTAGTTGTAAACGCCACTGCACTCGGACCAGCTGTTGGGAGTTTCTTTAGCAGATCTTATGAAACTGCACTGGAAGAAAACACGTGCACCATAGTGCAGAGCTTATTGGGATGAAACCCAGGAAGCAGCATGCAACTTTCCCTTATACTCCAGGGAAACAGCAAAAAGCCAGAAAGGCCGATGCTGGAAGTAGGAAGTGAGAACTTGCATTTTAGGAAGACAATCATAATCAGCCACTTTCCTTCCTACCTGGAAGTGCCCCTCCAGCACGGAAGTTTGTCAAGGAGGGGTGGCCACCTGATCATACAGATGGTGGGGGTCGCTGACCGGGGGTCTTATCCAAGAACTTTCCTTTGGACTGCCTCCAATCTTCTTAAGGGGTGTGGGAGGCGCAGTTGGCTGAACGGGGCCAACAGATTCAGGTCCCTTTAAGGGTGGATGAAAAGAGGGCAACAGCTTTTCTATATTGGGAGGAAAAGGCTCTGATCTATCCTTGTCCTCACTTATTCTTCCTTATTCTCCACAGAAGGGAATGAAGGAAGGAGAGGAGTCTCTCCTTATTGTTCTAGTTCTTGCTTTTCCTTCGCCTTTAAATCTCCTGAATTCCCTTCAGGTGGAGAAAACGCGCTGTTTGACTCACTGCAATCCAGCAGATAAAGAGGTTACAACGCAGAGCGTGCCAGCACCCAGGTGGTCAAAATAGTAACCTTAGTCAAATGACCTTGCTCATATCCTCTTTTCAGGCAGTGCCTTACCTGCTCCCATAACTCTAAATCCACGGTTCCTTGATCAAGAAACCAAGGACATTCGTGCCAAATTAAGAACATAATCTTGTGTAGAGCTCCAGGCTCCACAGTGCACTGGATAGTCTTAAGCAGCTGTTGCACTGTTTTAAAAACATACTTTCCGCTCTTTGGTCATTTTTTGACCCATGTAAACCTAGCCCCTGATACTTTACATGTGGGTCCCGTCCTCCTGATGGGAGTCAGGACTGTCCCTTACCGGGATTTCCTGACAATTGATGAGCTCTCTTTCACGCATAAATTCAAGGTGATCACGTCAGGGGCACCAGATGCAGAGCTTACAGCTTGCAGTGAACGCCAAGAACGAAGTACTCAAGACAGTTCCAGCTGAGCGGGGACGGGGGTAGCTCTTCTGAGAGAGTCCGCCCCAGCATCCATCCACCAAGTATTTGTTGAAAGGGCTTGTATTAGCTACAAACATCCACTAGATGGTCAATTGAGGTGGGTTGCTGAGGCACCTGTGACCTTGTACACACTCAAACTACATTCCCAGGAGGCTGTTTTCAGCGTTCCTTATCACACCACACACCACACTCCCTGTCCTGTTTTCAGGGTCAAGGAGTTTCATTCCCAAGCACAAATAACATACACAGTGCCTCAGTATTTTTCCATGCACGGACCTCAAATACCTTGTACATTAGCTTGAATATGTTGCTGTGCGCCCCTACAGCATAGTTGGTGCAAAGCGTTTTCAGGCACCGTGTGTTCTCATTCATAGGCGATGTTGAACAATGAGAACACATGGACACAGGGAGGGGAGCATCACACACTGGGGTCTGTGGGTAGGAACTAGGGGAAGGACAGCAGGGTGTGGGGAGTTGGGGAGGGATAACATGGGAAGAAATGCCAGATATAGGTGATGGGGAGGAAGGCAGCAAATCACACTGCCATGTGTGTACCTATGCAACGATCTTGCATGTTCTTCACATGTACCCCAAAACCTAAAATGCAATAAAATATGTATTTTTAAAAAAAAGAGTGAACTGGGATGGTCAGCCCAGGCTCAGAATTGTGAAGATCCTCCCAATTGGGCAGGCACTTGGTGGGGCAGCTGGCATTAGAGCTATCAGGCTTTTGAGGATGGAACACATCCAAGAGGTCACCCCTCCCCAATTTAGGCATAAGAAGATGATCAGATGGCGCTACCCCACATCATTTGTACAGTATCCTCACAAAGGATTTTGCTGTTTATACCTTTTGTCTTTTTTAATGCTGATCTTGGTACACTTTCCATTTTATTTAACCTGCCTAAAAATGCTGGGCATGGCAGAGGGGCAAAAGACTTTGTGTAAGGTTTTTCCTTCCAGATCTTCTCACAAATCGATCTTTCTACTCATTCTACCCAATTCCCTACCCCGCCCCCAGCCAATTCTCTTGAAGGGCGATTCTGCCTATTACATAGGAAGGAAATGGGAACTTAAAATCAAAATGTGAATATGCAAACTGCTATTTGGGCTGCATAACAAAGGTTGACACAGAATTCAAAAAAATTCAGCTAAATATTTATATGAATAGAAATCATATTAATTCATCTTGGCCCAAATATTAACCAGGCAAAACTTTCATCAGGTGGATGAGTCCAGACCACATTAGGCAGAGATAAAAAGTGTCAGAGAAAATAACTAATGGAAACAAGATAAGAAACACTTGATAAGTTTGACCCACGTTGTTCAGTTGCATTTGTATTTCTAAATTTGATTTTGTGTACTTGCAGTTTTAGGAAAAATAAGTAATATTTGAAAGTATCTTTCCCGGCCTTTAAATTTCAAGTTCATCAATCTAGTAAACACTCACATAACTAGAAGTTCTAAATTTGTAGAGAAGTTTCCTTGGCACTTATTTCTTTACCCTGGAGAATCTCCCCTTGGTACAGAATTGTTGTGAAACAAAACTTTGTGAGGAATTTTGGGATAGTTGTAATTAACAGAACTGTGTTTGATCACTAATACCACTATTTCACAGCTGTATGACTCCGTGTAAGTTAATCACTCTAAGCCTTAAATTTTTTCACCTGTAAAAATGGGTCTAATAATTTCTGCATTACAGATTTGCTGTGTGCCTTAAATAGTCCCAACAACAATCATGTCTATGAAATAAGTACACCAAATATTTAAATTCACTGCAATGTTCTCAAATAAGAAAATCTTCAAAAATTAGACTACTCTATTCATACAATGCTTTCCATTTACTTTCTCAGTATGAAAATAATTGCAATTCCTATTGCAATTGTAATTGTGAAAAATTTGTCTTTTTTTGGCAAAGTTTTTTTCCAAGCAAAAATGTACTGGAAACAGCAGGTAGAGGCATCTATAAAAATCCGAATTAACCGTGGAAGTCCTCTCTTAACTTCCATGGATGTTTATCCAACCCAGAGACGAATGCATTCAATAGTGAGCTTTGGAGTGGAGTCTGATGGGAATTTGATCTGACACTATCAGTCATTGTTTTTCAAATGGCATGAATGACTGATGCTTTAATTTTTATCTTAGAGCCTGTATTTTCTCTGCTTCCTCAAGATTCTCCTATTCCTTGTCTTCTTAAGACCAAGGGATCGGTTGGTGGGCAGTGGAGGGTGACAAGAGGTAGGGAAACCAGACTCCAGTGCTTTCTATGATGACTTTTAACTAATCTTCTCATTTTGGGCCTCAAATATGAAATTCACTTTTGTGGATTTTGGGGCCCAGGTATTTCATGGATCATTCAAAGGTGCTTGGGATAGCGCTCCCCTCAATGTGTCCGCCCCTAAACTTAGCTCATAACTTTGATTATGCAGTCCAGTTAACCGCCATTCCTCCACTTGCTTCCTGTCAGATAAAGGTTTTTTTTTTTTCTTTGTTTGAGATGGAGTCTAGTTCTATTGCCCAGGCAGGAGTACAGTGGCATGATCTTGGCTCACTGCAACCTCTGCTTCCCAGGTTCAAGCAATTCTCCAGTCTCAGCCTCCCGAGTAGCTGGGATTACAGGCATCCGCCACCATGCCAGGCTAATTTTTGAATTTTTAGTAGAGATGGGTTTTTGCCATGTTGGCCAGGCTGCTCTCCAGCTCCTGACCTCAGGTGATCTGCCTTCTTCAGCCTCCCAAATTGCTGAGATTACAGGCGTGAGCCACCATGCCCGGACTTTTTTTTTTTTTTAATGTTTCTTAAATGCTTTTATACCCTTTTTCTTTATCCTTGTTGTCTATACCTTTTGCATACTTTTACTGACCTTTCATGGGTCTTGGAGAGGGAAATGAGATTAAGATGTATTGTCAATATGTCATGCTTAACCAGATGCTTTGAAAAGAGCAAGTTTGGAAATTTAAAAAATAGGATTTAAACTTTATATGAATCATACAAAAGAGAAATCTTTAAAACTTTAAATAAAGAATATATAAGAATTGTGACGTATTTCCACAGATCAATACACACATTTAATTTGTGTACTTCCATTATATAGCTCTTATGATAACAGCAGGCATTTCTTAAATATTTATTTTTAAAAAGTTTATTTTCCAGGAAAATTGCTATGCAATTTTATTCCTTTAGTTTATAAATGGGGCTTTGTAAATATGATCCAAAGAATGAGAGCTAAAACTAAATACTCAATCCGCTTAAGCTCAAACCTTATTTTTGACCACTTTGTTTTTTTGAAAAGAATGTAACCCTTTCCATTTGCTGAGACTGGAAAATGAATCATGAACAGCCATTTCACTTTGGTAGCTAATCTGTGTCAGAATATCGTCTTGCTTAAACTGTGAAACTTTGGTGTAGTTCCGAGCATACGTATTTGTAGTCTGCTGCTATAAAACAGAAACAAATAGAAATTTAAAAATTGATATGAGGTTACTACTACATCCAAAGAAATAATACAATAAAGGCAAAGATTTTATTCTGAATATTTACAAAAACACAATAGCACTTTAGCACGAAGTGTAAGTCAATGTGACATACAGTTTCATATGAATTTCTATCTGCTTGCAGAAAAGAAAGCCTGTCTTTTCAAGTTGGACCTAATAAAATGTCTGCAACTGGAAAGGGAATAGCCAAATGTCAAATCCATCTAAAGTCTTTAAACAAAAGATGCTGCGATTTCAAAACCACGTGTCTGACATTCGTTACATAGTCAACAGAGTCTGTGCTAAAATTTAGGAAACATTCAAGTTTTCAGAATCACATTTACACGTCATCTTTCAGTTGATGTCCACAGAGGACAAATTTTACCATTTATATGAGTTCTTCCAAATCACAGACCAGTGACAATTCTGGATCTTGTCTCCAAAATTTGGTGATTAATTGTAATTAAGGCCAGTAGCTTCCCATGAGTTATTTAACTGTTAACGCCAACAAAATGTACATATAGTCCATGAAGGCTAGAAAAGAGGCCATTTCTAGCCTTCATGGACTGGATCCTAGAGTTTTAGAAACAGCTAATATTTTCTCTCTCAATGGCTCAAGTTTATGAAGAGCCAAAGTATATGTAGCAAAACTGTATCTTGGAGGCCTGAAAAATATTTTTAGCATATTTTGTTCATTGTTTTCTGGATATTCTTGTTATGTTGGTAAAAATGAAAACAGTTTTTCCTTTCCTTACATAGCTTTTTAAAAAATATTGTTGTGTAACTTTGTGTTGTAAGGATTGAAGTTTCATCTAATTTCTGCAGTCATCTCTTAAAATTCTCCTTTCACTGTAGAATTCTCCATCCCCTAGAAACAGGGCAGCAACTGTGAGCTGTGTCATCAGAAACCGAGATGTCTTGATTTTCCTTCTTGTGTGTAGCTTCCTTTCTTTGGACCACAGGCCAATCTGAAAGTATTCTTCCAGAAAGTCTGTATGTTTGATATGAAGGCATGCAAAACCAACTTCAGAATCAAATGGTGAACAAAAACCTGCTAAGGAGAAAGAATTTAGGTCTGAAATTTGCTTGATACGTACAGTTAGGCTAGAGAAAGTTGAATAATGCTAAGAAAATGTCAGCAAATGATTGTAACCTGTTTCTTTTCTTTCACTCTAGTAATCTATATTTTGAAGGAAATCTCGTGCAGTAATTAATTGCAAAGACTCTGAAGGCTGACTAGTGGGTTCCAATATTGGATCTTCTGCTTGCTGGCTTTGAGACTTTGGCAAATTAAAATGTTGAGTGAATACCAGGTACATGATAAACGCAAATGTCCGTGTTTGCTGATGTTAGCTCTCTGTGGAGTCCTAGAAATTTTCTGATACATTCTTATTCTCCAAAATCTCCTTTTACTAGATTTCATGAGGAAAACACACCTCTTCAGATTAATCTGGTTTTGAAATATGAGAAAATTCCAAATATACAAATTCCTTTAATAGGTACATTTTGGTTGCCTCTTCTTGATAATTTCTAGGAAGACACTTTAATCTCGCCAAAAAAAACACTATCTAAATTATACTTTCGTTTGTGTGATCTTAGTAACTATAACTAGGAAGTCCCTCCTGTGACCTGGGATTATCAGAACGGGTGGCCTTCCTTTGATCTGAGAGTCTTGCATTTCTTGCTAGATTTGGAGACAGAGATAACTTGTGCACCTGTAACTCTCAGCATATGAGCTCTGAGCCTTTTTGGACTTAGTTTTTATTCAATTATCATGTAAGACAGAGAAATGTCTTCAGGGAAAAAAGTAAGTCATGAAATAATACAGTAGAAAACGATTTCAGAGGTCACTAGGTTATCTCTTTTCTTTTCTAAGAACTGAGGTTCAGAGAGGAGACATGACTCTTTTGGGGGCTACAGGACAGGGTACAGGCAGAGGTGGTACTTAGTGCACAGTCCTTCTTCCTAAAGTACAAATTGTGATGATACAGAGGTGACACTGATTCTGGAAAAATCTTGAAAAACAAATTTACTTACTTATTTTAATGCTTATTTTCCTCACTCTTGACAGAAGAATAAACATGAAATCTTGTGAATAAGATTCAAATGTTTGAGGAATTTTCCATCTATGAATGCTTTCATGACAAGGCCCAGTCAGTTATGCAACCACACTCGAGGGTACATGCAGCATTTGTGATGTTTTGTGGGGCATTCAGTGATGTAATACAAGGCAGGCACCTGGTTGAATGCTTGGCCTATAGGAAATACTTAGTGAATTTTAGCTATTTATATTGCTATTATTTGCCTACATATTGGAATCCTCTTTTAGCCAAAAGGCTAGGTAGTGAAAGATTTGCTCATAACCTTGGACATAATTACCATATCATCCTTCACAGTATCTGAAGGGGCAGACAAGGAAAATAGAATTATCATGATTGAAATCTGGGAAAACATAGACACTAAAATATTTGCAGGCATGTTTCAATCACTCAAGTAGGTTAGAAGCAGAAAAACATATGCTTTATTTCTTGCCTTTTCAACCCCAGGTTTAAATACTTCAGTTTTACATATTTTTAGTTGTTCAAATAACTATAAAAAGGAAAACTGTTTTATTAAATAAAATATACAAAAGTAAACCAAACCACTCTAGAAGTTGAGCGAAGGAAGTTTTGTGGGCATCTGCTGGACACTTCCTCCCTTCCCCATCAACAGAGAAGCTAGAAAAGGAGAAACCAGTTTGTCTGAACACTTCTCTTTTACCAAAATAAATTAAGAGGAACAAATTTGTGGGCTGCTTTTTAAAAATTGTGCCTATTTTTCCATTACTTATTGAGCAACGGCTTGCTAAGCAAGGCACTGGGTGACTTAAATGCACAAACTCATTGAATCCTTTCAACTCTGAGAAGAATGATTTTTATCATCACCATTTTACAGACGAGGAAACTAAAGCTAAGAGAGGGTCAGGAGCTGCCTAAAGTCCCAGAGCTTGCAAATAATGGAAGTTTGAGATTCCTCTAAGTGGTCGTGATTCCAGGATGAAACTCTTTAATCACTACAGGTGGGCAAATAAAGAAAACAAGGACAGAAATGGACCATGATTTAACATTGAATTTTTAACAGCAGTTAGGAATTTGCTAATTCAACACCATAGAATTAAAAGTTTTCCAAATAGAAAGCCTCTGGAGAAAATGAAGACATAGTCATTAAAATATAATAGGGCTTCAAATGACTGTGGACGTCATCATACAACTTAACATGATTGATTCATGGGTATTTCTCATGCAGTGCAGTCTGGACACACAGCATGCTCCTGAAGGGTGTGTGGCATGAAGAAGTCGCCCTGGGGAGCAGGGAACTGTGAGTAACAATCTATGAGGGGTTTTCACTTTGCCCTTACCCTTTTCCTCCTCCTATCCCAGTAGACACTTGGCTCCGTGCTCATTTCCTCAGGAGAGGATGAAGCACGGTGAAAAATAAAAATTGCCTGTGTTGTACTGGAGCGAGCATAGAAAGTTAACACTGAGACAAAAGTATGCTAAATTGCAGGGTTTTTATTGCCGGTGGCTATGGAGGACTTGCGTTTTTGTAACCTGTGGCCTTGAAAGGAGGGTGTTAAGACTTTTTAGGCTCTTAAACCACTTTGGGGGTGAGGGTGAGGGGCGGGGTTGGGGTGAGGGGCTGTAGACATTCTGAGGGCTAGTGGACTTTGGATGTTCTGTAAATTACCTCCTGGGTGGAGATGAGGGTGAGGGGCTTCGGACATTTTGATTGTTACTTAAGTGGTTTACAGAAGTTAAGGTAAGCGTTAGTTTACACATTGCCTGGGTAGGGTGGAAATTACAGACTTTAGTTACTTATTACAAGTCACAGGGGCCAAGATGGCATGGGTTTGGACTGCTTGCCTGTCACATTAGGGTTACAGAAAGCAGTTTTAACAGAAAGCCGAGGTATGGCTGAGGTATGCAGGTTTATGGGGTTTTTACCATGTCACACCTGACAGCTACTTCTCTTCCTGCTTTTGGTGCCAAAACCCAACCACAGAAAGGGAAGGAATCTTGAGCATCGATTCTTGAAGGGAAATGATCTTCCCCTCAGGTGAACCGCTAATATTAACTGCTCTCACACAGGGATCCCTAACTATGCATCAGGCACCCTTTGAAGCACATAGCTGTGTACTCATTTAATTCTCTAAAAGCCTATGAAGAAGTTATTACTAATATTGTTAGAATGCTCCATGAAGATTTGCTTTTCTCTGTTTTTTTTTTTTTTTTTTTTTTTTTTTTTTTTTTTTTTTTTTTTTTTTACTGCTCTATCTCTAGCATTGAGATCAATACCTGGCAAAGATTAGGAATAGGTAAATATTTATTGTAGAATCAATCTCCATATAAAGGCAAAGCAACTTAGGCACAGAAGGATTAACTTACCTGCCCAAAGGCCCACAGCTGATAAAAGACTAGGAGAGTTAGAGCATCCCCACCTGAGCTGGGAGAAGAGATGAAGGGAAGGCTGTGCTTCCCAAGAGTAGAGGGGCCCTGG